TAAACTCAATAGCTTTAAAATGACACCAAAATCAGCTCTGTAGGTGCCATACTTTTCGAGATATGGTCGGTTAAACACGCAAGGTATCGCTAATTAGCCAAAAGTTCGTTAGCAGATATCTTGCTAATTAGGAGGCCTAGAGAAAAAATTTTTCATTTCTGATCGTTTCTCATGGGCCTCAACAACATACAAAAATTTGAACAAAATCCGAGAGATTGAGGTTTTTTTTTGGTTGATTTGACATGGAATTACCCGTAAACAATCACAGAAAATTAAGAATGTGTTTGTAAATGGCTGCACATCTTTTCGCCTCGAAAGCATCAAGATACACGAGACGTCAGTTAACCATTTGAGGAACAGTGAGATCGTGGCAGCGAAATCGCGCCCAGATCAAACGCCAGCATTTAGAATTTTAAGTGCAATGAACAAAGATGTATCGGAAAAACTGGCGAAGTTATTTCGTACTTGCCATGCACTGGCTTTGAAAAACAGGCCCTATTCCGACTATTCATGGATGTCCGAGCTAGACGAGGTTAAAGGCCTTAACATTGGCAACACGTACAGAACCGAAGAATATGCATAGGTATTTACCTATTATATTGCCGAAGTGGAATGGAAAAGAGTAGTTGCAGAAGTCAACAATGCAAAATTTGTGGCAGTCCTAACTGATGGGTCGACTGATTCCAGCATATCTGAACAGGAACTGTTTTATTTTAGAACATGTACAGCTGGAGAAATATCTGTCAAATTTGCAGCAATCAAAGATGTAGAAAGAGGAAATGCAGCTGGCATATGATGCATTGAAATGCATAGTGACAGATTCAAGTCATTTGTCAATCGGCTGGACCAATTTGACATCAAAGCTAGTTTCTTTAGGATGTGATGGAGCAGCTGTAATGGTAGGATGCAACAACAATGGACTAGCTGCTTTTAAGGGCAAGTTAAATTTGTTAAGGGCAAGTAAAATATGACACCAACTTGCCCTGCTGACCACTAAGAAAAAATCTTAATATGGGACCCTGAAGCACACACTGTAAAGCACACCTATGTGTGGGCACATAGGGCTCCAGGTAGTATTAATTGTACGTAAAGCACATACTTTGCCAGGGCCTGGTGGCAGGGCACAGAGAGAGGTATGGGGTAGAACTCCAGTTTGCTCTGGTGACTGACTTTTTTGATGTGTTAACACATGACTGATTTAGGACACATGGTTTGAAGGAGGGTCTATAATGGTCCTGGCAGAAAAAAGCTGACTAATATACTGGGCCCTTAAGGTCCATTGCCACCGGCTTTGGTCAATAAGTAGAAGTGGTTTGGCGCAGGGTCAGGGTTTCAATCCCCTCCCTATGTATTTAAGTTGTGTCCTTGGGCAAGGCATTTTATCTGCATTGCTTCTCTCTATCTGGTAGAGTTAAATACCCTGTACCAACATGCGCTGATGTATCTGCTGCAGCATTATAGAATACTTCCCCAGGGAGCTGGAGTTTGTGTTCCATAGGCATTAATCCATTGAGGGCCTAACAATATGCTAATATAAGGGCACATAGAAAAAACTATTAGATTATCACAATTTAATAAAAAAAAAAAAAATTGATGAGGGTGGGTGTTGTTTTTTTTTTAACAGAACAATATAATATTGCTTTTTTTTAATTGATGAGGGAGGACTGTATTTATTTTCAAGGATATTTACAAGTTTAATTTTATTGTTTTTAAAGAAAATGTATTTCCCGTCACAAAATTGCATCATTTCTTTTTAAGCTCTTAAAATAAATAATGCGGCAAAAAAAATTTTATTTTTATTCCCGCATCAATATTTCCCAATTTTTTTTAATGCGGGTGGGATCTAACAAATTGTTCTATTTGCCCTAAGTCTACTATTATTTTTTTTTTAACAGAACAATATAATATTGCTTTTTTTTAATTGATGAGGGAGGACTGTATTTATTTTCAAGGATATTTACAAGTTTAATTTTATTGTTTTTAAAGAAAATGTTTTTTCCGTCACAAAATTGCATCATTTTTGTAAGCTGTTAAAATAATTAATGAAATAAATTAATAAAAAAAAATTTTTATTTTTATTCCCACATCAATATTTCCCAATTTTTTAACGCGGGTGGGAGTGATAATCTAACAAAATTTTCTTTTCTAAAAGTCTACTATTATTATTATTATTTTATTATTATAAGAGCTCACAGCCACTGAAAGCGCACTATATCTAGCAATCCATTGTTTTAAAATCAAGTTAAACCATATTTTTTTTTTAAATAAGTGATATTTCAATTTCTTTTTCAGGAATATTTCAAAAAGCAACAATATTTGTAATCATACAGCCATACCAAGGAGAAAGCTGTAGAAAGCTCCCACTTCAATCAGTACATCACTTAATGCAGGAGGTCACAGTCTGCAAGCAGAATAGAGATCAAAGTGTGACCGGCTTTGCATCCAGTCTCTTAGGCAGCTTGAGAGATTGGAAGATAACGGTGCATCATTAACGGAATTAATAATAAAAGAACTGTTTGTGGAAGGACTAAAAGATTCTTCTTAAGAGAGAAATCAGGAGGGAACTGCGCTGCACTCCCAGTATGACTTTATTTGAGCTGCGAGACTTTGCCATTGAATTGGATATTGAAGAAAACAACTGTGCTGGAAGATCTGCTAAGAATGACTCTGAAATGTTGAGTGAATTAAGGAACATCTCTGATAGACTACGAAGAATGGAATCGATGAGTACGAAATATGGGCAGGCATTTAATGGACCTACTAGGAATGTCTAAAGAGTGACAACAGTAGTAGACAGTATCATGGTACAAGTACTGTAGGAATGTCCATGGTGGCAACAGTAGTAGACAATATGGTTCTAGTAGAAATGTCCATGGTGACAACAGTAGGGATAATAGGCCTAGTCAGAAACCGGGAAACTGAGTACACTTGACTGTACGAGCCAGCAGTTGAGTGGCAGTAGAGGGGAAGGCTCATTTATTAAGAATGAGAAATTAATTGGAAATTGCCCCAGTGTTCTTGTTAAATTCCCAGACACTGGAGTGAACACTGATTGTTGAACGAAGAGAAAAAAAGAGGCTATCAATGAGATGTCATGATGTATCCAATGAAACCAGACAGTTAGCTTACTTCAGTGGATACGATTTAAAAACATGGAATTTGCCGATTTACTAAGTCATCGATTCAATGGTACTTATTTTTCTTGCTTTTTTTATCCTCTATCATAAAATTAAAATTTATGTCAATATTTTTCCATGATTCATAATAATTAAAGTAATACATATGCACTTTTTTCTAACAAAATGTTTTTATAGTGAAATTTTGCCGGGAATGGGGCTTTAAAAGGAACTTTTAGTTAAGAGTAGTTAATTTGTTTTTTATTGTAATGTTTTAATGAGTTGTATGGCCCCTTGGAAGTTTTAACTAAGAGGGCCTCAAACAAAACGAGTGTTCAAAATTAGATAACAATTTTTGAGAACATTCCATTATGTCGAATAGGGGATCATATTACATACGTACTGCAATGGATGATCACATTTCTTGAAGACATCAACTATATACAACTTTTTCTATGTTCAAATGAAGTTGACTGATGTTTGTAAATTGCAGCGCGATAGCTTGCTACGGTAGGCCTAAGTTACAGTAGATTTGTGCTTTTTGTTTGTTGGTCAAAAAAGTGGTCTCGACGTGCTAACTGTTACAATGTATGCACCAGGTTTAGTCGGCATATAATTCCATCAAACATCTCTGATCATCTCTTTTAAAAAGCTGCAGTGACACTGATGTCTAAAGCAGTAAGCCCAGACAGAAAAATAAGATAACAACAGTTTTTGAAGGTAATCCTAATTTCCTAACAAATTGTGTTTATTTATGGAGTACAGGTTAACAAGTGTATATCAGTCGCTTGAGGATTGTGAAAAATCACTGGACCTCGGAATCAAGACTTATTCCTCTTCACGATATTCTTCAGTTCTGCAGGGCTAATATTTTAATTTTTTCCCAAAGTCCAAAAAAAATAAATGATGCAAAGTTTTTAATCCCACTTTTAACAGACACATTTTAAATATTATATCACAAAAACAGAGTATCTGCTTCTGTAAAGGCTCATTAGGTACGTTCACATAAGCTATCGTGATAAACTTATCATGATCTATTCATAATGATAACTTTAGCATGTTAGAGAAAACCGTTCATATAGAAACCATCATCATGATCTATTTATGCTAATGCGTGCAGTGTTGCATGTTGTTGGGACCTGTTTAATAAACTGAAGGCTGATTGGTTGAATTGAATCTCATGAATTAATTTATCACGTTAACCAAGGTTAATCATGATGAATCAACATGTTCCACTAGATCACAATAAGGTGATTAAGCTGAGCACGTTATTTGATTCTGGTTGGTTCACATAAAATGACTGGCTTGATCATGATCCACTAGATCACGTTAAATTCTGAATGTGAACCTAGCTACTCAGAACAAATCCAAACCACAATCTGTAAATAGTTTTGAAGACTGTGAAATGAATTAACCTTTCGAAGCAGGTTTTTTTTAAATATTACTCTTGAAGTGATCCCTCTGATATGATATATTCTTGATGATGCCATGAATATTATCTTTGGAAACTGATTATACCTCCGTGACCTGGGTAAGTGGCAGTCGAACCTCAAAACGTTAGTGTATTATTACTCTTGTTTCAGGAAGGTGAAGATGGGGACAAGAGAAGGCAGTTTTTAATCAAAACCTAGCTGATCTGGTTACTATAAACATTAACAGCCAACAAAGAGTAATTTCTGATGGAATCACAAATTTATATTTATCTCTAAATTAAGCCTACGTATGGACTTGGCACCTTTTGCAAACAAGCTCTCTATAATATTGAAATACCATGTCAATGCAATACTGTGATATGTGTTCCTTTTATTCTGTAGTTCAGTATGCCAGGGAGAACTGTACAAACTTTTCGCTGGTATCACTAGCAGAGGATCTCTCCAATGGCCAGGTTAAAAATTTATTTTTTACCATTTTTGAAAGTCTTCCATCTCAACAGGCCTACAATATATATAAACAGTATCAAAACACATTGACGATGGACGAATTAATGCCATCTTTGTCAGAAACTGAAAGTGCCCCCAGAGCATTTATTGGTGGATGATATATAAAAATACTTACTCACTTATTAGACAGCATCAATGCATTTCTGCACTTACTGCCTGACTTGCAAGAAATTTCCACATTTTTTCATCATGGGCTCCAACCTCTGCAAAGTCCACCTGTCTAGATCCCCTTTGATATATATACCCATCCAAAATTTATGAAGGCTTTACCTTGGCAGTAGCATCAGCAAAGGTTTTTTTCCAGTTTAAGACAAATTGGCAGGGTAATCAAACTTTTGTGAAGAGAGGGTGATGTTGCAGCTATGATGCTAGGGATAAACTGGCTGAGTCATAGACCTACAGGATTAAAAAAAAACCAACTTAATAAAATGAAAGTTGCTACAGATAATCTAGGTGTTGTTACCATGACTTTATATAAACATGCATAATTAATAGTTTCCAGAAACAAAGATGATGTATGTCTGTTTTTTACCCCAGTATGCCTAAAGACATTTAAGGGCCACTGGCAGGTCTAAGCAATATTAAATTGCAAAGTACTGTATGCAGCTGAATAATGAAAAAATTACCTGATAATGTAAACATAGGTCGAAATTCTATAAGCTTGACAAAGTTCTCCAGTCAATCAGGGTACAACTACAAAATATGATGGCAGTCATGTTCACAAGTTCTGTTAAGTAAATAAATATAATCTACAGTGTAAACGAAAGTGCAAATTAAAAAATTAAAGTAAAAACCAAATTAATATTGATGTTGTATAGATATTGTATAATTAACTTTTAGCCATAATATTGAAATCATAATGAATGCAATTTGCAAAGGCAAATACTGTAGGCCTATGTAATTCATCTTTTTCCTTTACTGAGGAAATGCTAAGAAACCTGAATGAAAAAATTAGAAATATTACTTCCTTATTTGGAATCAACTGTACATACAATTGCAATTATTTCAAAATGTTTATTGGTTAATTGTATGACCTAATACCCCATACAATAATATGTAGCCTGGGTTCCAGGCCCCTATTTGGGTTACTCACTCTTTATTTCAATTAGTGCACACCATACTCGATTTCTTTTTTATTCTGTCTCTAAATAACTTTCTCATTGGTGGCACTGTCCAGAATGAGAAAAATAATAAAAAAATAAGAGACTTGTGGCAAGTCTAAATGATATGGAATAGTTAAAACTAATAAATCAGTCTTGTGTTTCATTTTAGGCCCAAACCTTAGCCGCCGAAAATGATGCATACTGCGTGTGTAATCATGTACTCTATGTACTATGTATTCTCTTCGAAATGAATTTTTTGATAAATTTATTTATTCTTTTGCTTGGAAATGGTATATTTGATATTTTTTAAGTTAAAAAAGTAATAATTTTGTCCTATATATAGAATTATGCAATTGTTTCACATTTAAATGGGCCGGACTTGATTAGTGTTTACACTATTTTCTAGCTCCTTCCTATATTGGTTTATGTATTTATTTGAATTTTAGATTACTTATACTTATAGACCCCTTGCAATGTTTACATTGGACCTGGCTCAAATGCTGGCAGCACCCTAACTGGAGACAGAAAGGCTATCTTAATACACTGTCTGGGTTATATTTATTTTTGTTGTGCTGAAAATATGAAAGCTACATGGATGAAAATCACATGACATATTTACAATGCATACATTTTTCTTTGCTTCTAACTCATAGGCCGAACTTCAGCACTACGTTGGGGGGTACCCAGGTGTACCGGTCCAATCAGTCCCCTGTTGTTTAATGGATATGCCACGTTAGGACAGTGATTAAGTTCACTTTTGGCATATCCTTGGCACTCGTGCCTAAAGAAATGAAATGAAATGAAAAAAATTTCCCCCCAAAAAATGGAAATCTATAGTCATTTCAAAAGTCTTTGAAGGCAATTTTGATGTCTAAGAGTGCCATTTCTGGGAATCTAGGTCATTATTATCTAGTTGTGTTGTAGTATCCAATTTACACCAAAATAAATAAATGCCACCCTCAAATAGCCTTCTGAACACTAAAAAACGCCCCTGGACGAATAAATACGTGGTATTTGTTTTTGTCAATAGAGCACTTGATCCGATCCTTCATCAGTCAGTGTAGGCCTATGCCATCTCTATAAAGAAAATAAAGTTAAAAAAAATATATAAAGGCTAGGGCAGACCTAAGTGCAAAAAAAACCCCAAAACAGCATAAATAATAATATTGGCTAGGCCTATAGCCTAAGCATAACCATTTGATGACTTTCATATACTTAATAACAATATAAAAAGTTGTTCTTCACGGTTGAATTCATATCAATACGCTAGCTGATTTATAACTCCATTTATGAGCTGAAGAAGTTCATTCAACTACCTATCATGAAATTGCAATAACTATGCTCCTTAAATAAGATAGTATGCTCCTTAACTCTGCCGAAACCCGGCCTAGCCGATACGAGAGGACACGAGGCTACTCTACCCCGTACTCAGCTCTACTCCACCTTGAGGTTCCACGTGCAAATTTGGGAATTGATAGTCTTCTTACCGTCTTGTGAGTGTGTGATTTTGCGCACCCTTGTGCAGCAGCTGGGCCTCGCTAGGCATTTAGGCCTAAGTCGTTGAGTATTCTGGCTATCTACATATAAAGATTTATTGCATAGGGTTCACCGATAAGTGAAATAAAACAGTATCAAGAATGCAAGCCACAGCGCGCATAGGGCTTGCACCAGGAGCATCAACTTCTTTTGGTACCTGCATTTGGGATGGATGTTCCCCAGGGAATTATTTAAGGCAGAAATTATAGAGGGCGTTATTTTGTTTTTTATAAACAAAACAGTGCGCGTCGCAGGGAAAAGGAGCGGAAAAATTATGATTAGCCTAGGCCAGGGGCGGATTTAGGGGTCCCCTTTTGGAAAAATAAAAAAAGAAAAAGAAAAATGGATCGCCCAAAACGCCTCAGAGGTTACTTTAGGGCGTCTAAAAAACATGAATTTCGGACCCCTAGCTATAGGGTGGTGTTTGTCGCGATCCCAGCCCGGACTTTCGCGCCCATAAAGCTGGTTCCACCAAAGATCGTAGCTTGGTTCCACTTGGCGAATTTATTCGCGAGAACCAAAGCGTCGGTTCGCTTCCTGAGTTCTGATTGGTTGCACACTTCTATCGGAGTTTTTGCGAAGCGAAAAAATGCGCAATTATCAGAGCATGAAGCGAACCGACGCTTTGATTCGCACGAATAAATTCGCCTAGTGGAAAACCAGCTTAACCCCCAACCCCTTTCGTTTTGGACATCTCTGGATCCGCCCCTGCAGGCAGTATACTTTAACAGTCAAAATACCGTAAAAGTTAAACCTCGAATAAAGCCCAATGGGTCATATTTGGACTAAGGGGACGTTTCCGGACAAAAGCATAATTTTTGTTAATACATGCTGCTCCCTATGGTCGTATTCAATTTTTGGTAGGAGCTACCTAATCCGAGGTATGGCGGCCATCTTAGCTTTCAAAATGACCACCTTATGTGTTTTATCTATAGATCTCCGATCTAAGCCACTTAGAATTATAATTCAAAATGTTTAAAAAAAAGTGTTATAGTCAAGGATATACAATTTCTGGTCAAATTTAGCCTACATCAGAATCATACCCAGGCTATAATTAACATTTTTACTGTGAGCTACAGTACTTCGTTTAAGTCCATTTTGGAGGCCATCTTGTTTTTCAAAATGACTGGCGTGCCATGCAAACCTTATATCAGCTTTTAAACCACTTCAAATTAGAAGTCTGATGTTTGAAATTAAATATTGAAGACATCTGCAACCTGGGTTCATACTGATCGTATAATACCACAATTCTGCGTTTACAAAAAATCCAAAATTCTGCTGCTCGTTTGTTTCACTGATCCCAAGACGTCAACACATATCCAGCCCTGAAGTGTCTTCATTGGTTTCCCATTAAACAACGTTGTATTTTGAAATTGCTTCTTTTGGTATATAAGTTACTTGCGTTCACAAACCATCCCAGCTAGCAAGCGACGTTGACCCGACGTTGGTTGAAGGTCGAATAATTACGTTGGCACAACGTATTACACAAAGGTTGGCCTGACGGCCGTTTTTCCATCGCCCCAACGTGGATTCAGCTTGTTGGAAAGACGTCGGTCCGACTAGTTGGATCTACGTTGGCCCGATAATGTTTGTGCAACGTCGACCAATCACGTTGGCCCAACGTACCTTTCTATATTTGTTGCATTTTTTTATATTTGTTGCATCACTTAAAATGTCATGTCCGCCATCTTCGTTCATCTTCAAAAAATCTTTTGACAGTTCCATCTCCTCGAAACAAAACCAAAATATATGGTCAACGTGCTTTTTCTGTTCAAGTTCCTTCTCTGTGGAATTCTCTTTCTTTTTCTGATCGTAATTCGCCTAAATTATATTCTTTTAAGAAGAACTTAAAGTTTCACCTTTTTGAGAAATGTTACTGAGTTTGTTTTCTCCTGCGCCTTTGATAATTTTTTGAATTGGCGCTATTATTATTATTATTATTATTATTATTATTATTATTATTATTATTATTATTATTATTATTATTATTATTATTATTATTATTACTGTACAGTATATGCTTCCATCATATGTTTATACAGTATTAAAAAGGAGTAGTTGCCAATAAGGCAAACATGAAAGTTGATCCCATCAACCTTTAATCTCCTTTAAGCATGTTAATACAAAAACATTACAAACACTTTACAAAGCACTTGTGAAAGACCACACCTCAGAATATGCTGTGTTTGGAGGACCTTTTTGCAGGAAGATACCAAAATGAATCATTCCATATGAATCCAACACACTTTTTTGCCCGACCCCCTTAAAATCGCCCAATATTTTGCATGTTGGGGATTCTACCTGAGATAACCTCACAGTTAAATTTTTGGCTCCCAGCATTTTCTGATGAGTTAGAGCAATTTAAAATTTTCATGAGATTTGGCTAAAATAAAACTCATCTTCTGACAGACAATTGCTGATATCTCTCTTGAAACTCGACGTATTGGAGAAATTCCGTTCGTCCGTACCATTGGATAGATAATTTTCTTTCCGATGATATTAGACCGGGAGCCCAGAAAATTTAATCATGTGAAAAGAGACAAAAGGTTTGATGGTCTGGTCATGATAGTATAGGGCCAAGATAAAATATTCAGTATTGCTGCCGGGGCACATCCTGTACAAGCGGGCTGGGAGAAATGAAATAGGGGGTTAAATAATGCATTTAATCATGTGGAGAGAGACATGGATAAAAATAATTGGATATTACTCCCAGGTAGATACTTGCAATAATGTCACAGGTGACAGCAACTTTTACCTGTACGTGACCTTAAACAGTGACATTAAAGGCCACGCCCAAATACATTTAATCATGTAAAGAGAGACACGGATGAATTTTTTTTTATTGGAATTATTATACATTGGGGGTAACAAAAATACCAATGACAGCAACTTTATCCTGTACATAAGCCCAGACAGCAGCCCCAAGGGACCCATGGGGGTCTTATATAGTAGCAACATGATAAAATCAAGCAAAAAGAGAGACATGAATGAAACCAACTAGGAATTACTACTTGTACATTGTAGAATGCTGAAACACCGATGACAGCAATTTTTTCATGTACCGGGTACGTGACCCTAAACAGTGACATTAAAGGCCACGCCCAAATACATATTTAATCATGTGAAGAGAGACACGGATGAATTTTTTTTTTGGAACTATTATACATTGGGGGTAACAAAAATACCAATGACAGCAACTTTATCCTGTACATAAGCCCAGACAGCAGCCCCAAGGGACCCACGGGGGTCTTATATAGTAGCAACATGATAAAATCAGGCAAAGAGAGACAGGAATGAAACCAACTAGGAATTACTACTTGTACATTGTAGAATGCTGGAACACCGATGACAGCAATTTTTTCATGTACCTGACCCTAAACATTGACATTAAAGGCCGCGCCCAAATGACATTAATTATGTGAAGAGACACACGGATGATTTTTTTTTATTGTTAATATTATACATTGTTGGTAACATAAATACCAATGACAGCAACTTTATCCTGTACATAAGCCCAGACAGCAGCCCCAAGGGACCCACGGGGATCTTATATAGTAGCAACATGATAAAATCAAGCAAAGAGAGACATGAATGAAACCAACTAGGAATTACTATTTGTACATTGTAGAATGCTGAAACACCGATGACAGCAATTTTTTCATGTACGTGACCCTAAACAGTGACATTAAAGGCCACGCCCAAATGTACGTTAATCATGTGAAGAGAGACACGGATGATTTTTTTTTATTGGCACTATTATACATTGGGGGTAACGTAAGTACCAATGGCAGCAACTTTATCCTGTACATAAGCCCAGACAGCAGCCCTGGTTCCCAAATGGACTTATAATTTATAGTATGATATGGTCGAATCTAATAATGATTAGAGATAGTAGAATGCAACTGAAACACCTGATTATGATGAACGTTTTACAGGACAAAATGGAAGTATTTCCATACATTCTAGCCCCGAAACCTACACTCAGAAATACCGGGATGGTGTCCGGTGGGGGATTGTTTAACTATTAGTTAAGTGTTTCTTGCTTGTGCTTTGTATCGTACTGCTACAAACACATTGTTACCACAGTGTACAATACCGCAGTTCAATTGTGTATGCAATATATAAAAAATCATATAGATACTTGATTTACAATGAATCCATAATCCATATGGTGGACACATTTGTTGTAATAGTAGAAGAAGTAATGTAAAATTCAAAACTAGTATCGCTTTATTGACTAACTATAGTATAATGCTGTTACATCTGTAACCCAGAAGAAACTGCTGTCAAAAGTTAATACATTTTATAATGTTAGTCAATAAAGTGCTACCAGGTTCTAATCCTATGATTACATTATTTTCAACACTCTGATTGAAATACACCTTGACGCTGTACCATTTATCATGTATAGACAATTCATGTTCTGTAGTTTAATCCGATCCAATAAATATTTGTTACTGAGTTGGTATTGTTTTATTTCATCTGAAGTCAGTGTTTAACAACATTTTATTATCAAACGGAAAGCTATAGCTGAAGTAGTAAATAATTGCTGTCAATTGGATTTTCTTTCCAGTGTTTAAAAGTTCCAGTGTAAATGGTCCCATCCTTCACTTAATTCCTGTTTTATTCTGAAGTTGATCTCCAGAACCACTGTCTGTGTCATAATAAGGTGTTTCAGTTGCATTCTACTGTCTCTAATCATTATTAGATTCGACCATAACATACTATAAATTATAAGTCCATTTGGGAACCAGGGCTGCTGTCTGGGCTTATGTACAGGATAAAGTTGCTGCCATTGGTACTTACGTTACCCCCAATGTATAATAGTGCCAATAAAAAAAAAAATCATCCGTGTCTCTCTTCACATGATTAATGTACATTTGGGCATGGCCTTTAATGCCACTGTTTAGGGTCACGTACATGAAAAAATTGCTGTCATCGGTGTTTCAGCATTCTACAATGTACAAGTAGTAATTCCTAGTTGGTTTCATTCATGTCTCTCTTTGCATGATTTTATCATGTTGCTACTATATAAGACCCCCGTGGGTCCTTTGGGCTGCTGTCTGGGCTTATGTACAGGACAGTTGCTGCCATTGGTACTTACGTTACCCCCAATGTATAATAGTTCCAATAAAAAAAAATCATCCGTGTCTCTTTTCACATGATTAATGTACATTTGGGCATGGCCTTTAATGCCACTGTTTAGGGTCACGTACATGAAAAAATTGCTGTCATCGGTGTTTCAGCATTCTAATGTTCAAGTAGTAATTCCTAGTTGGTTTCATTCATGTCTCTCTTTGCTTGATTTTATCATGTTGCTACTATATAAGACCCCCGTGGGTCCCTTGGGGCTGCTGTCAGGGCTTATGTACAGGATAAAGTTGCTGTCATTGGTATTTTTGTTACCCCCAATGTATAATAATTCCAATAAAAAAAAATTCATCCGTGTCTCTCTTTACATGATTAAAATGTATTTGGGCGTGGCTTTTAATGTCACTGTTTAAGGTTACGTACAGGTAAAAGTTGCTGTCACCTGTGACATTATTGCAAGTTTAATGATTAAATGCATTATTCAACCCCCTATTTCATTTCCCCCAGCCCGCTTGTACAGAATGTGCCCCGGCAGCAATACTGAATATTGTATCTTGGCCCTATACTATCATGACCAGACCATCAAACCTTTTGTCTCTTTTCACATGATTAAATTTTCTGGGCTCCCGGTCTATATGCAACTCGATGATCGGACTAGCGAGAATTATATAGGTCAAGTCACGTGACCTTGACCTTTGACCCAAACTATCACAAAAGTATATATCTCGATTTTTGTAAAATTCACACCTCAGTTAGGATACTTAGCCCACATGATGCCCCTAAAGTTTCATTGTGGGAAAATGAAATATATTAGCTCTAGACTACATTATGTGCCTAGGTATTGATAGTTTCACTGAGTTTCCAGGAAATCTGCTGATAGATTATGGAACTGGCACCATATAGTATAGTGAAAATCAGGGGCCCCGTGACCACTTTTCTGGGACCAAGGTTTCACTGCTGATTTAGCATCACTAGGGTATAAATAAGAAAATTGAGCGATGGAGAACCCCCAGAAAAAGGGCGGAACATTTTTTTGGCGGCCATTTTCAAAATGGCCGCCAAAATTATGATATTGACTCATAACTTCACTTATATCCAATGAAAAGGGGAAAATCTGGTGTCTAACTATATGTTATTGGGGTCACTGAAGCCAATGAGACAGGTTTTGAAAACGTAAAATGGCAGCCATATTGAAACTCAAGATGGCAGCCTTAAAAATGGTCAAAAAATTAATATTTCAGTATAATTCCACATATCCTCTAAAGCAAACGGTAAATTTGGATCTAATCATATGATTTTGGGCTCTCTGAATACAATAACATAGTTTCAAAAAGCTACTGTAGGATGGTAGTCATTTTGAAATTCAAGATGGCCACCATAAATATCCTCAAAAATCGAATATTTTAGTTTGTAATTCCACTTCTCTGATAAGAAATGCTAAATTTGGTGTTTAAGCATATGTTATTGGATCTTTGAGTCCAATGTACATGGTTTCATATATCTAGATTGGCAGCTATTTTGGAATTCAAATGGCCGCCATAAGAAACCATCAAAAATTGAATATTTTGGCATGTAACTCCACTTCTATTTGCTGAAAAACGCTAAATTTGGTGTCAAATTATATGGTTTTGTGTCAACTGATATGGCTGTCATGAAAACTGTCAAAAATCAATATATAGAGAGACACGTGATTAGACACGAAATTGTTGCCATTTTGGCTACGTAAAAATTAAACAACTAACAAAATATTGATTTTCGACAATTTTCGTGGCTGCAATCTTTACTTTTAAAATGGGTGCCATCTATCTTCTTTGAAATCATGAACTCAGTTGACTCAATAGCATATAATTTGACACCAAATTTAGCATTTATCATCAAATAAAAGTGGAATTACATACCAGAATATTCATTTTTGATGGTTTTTATCGCGGCAATCTTTAAAATGGCTGTTATTCTAGATTTATGAAACCATGCATATCTTTAAACAACAAATTTAGCAGTTTTCTTCTAAGAGAAGTGGAATTACATACTAAAATATACGATTTTTCAGGATAGTTATGGCGGCCATCTTGAATTTTAAAATGGCCGCCAAAAAATATGTTCCGCCCTTTTCCTGGGGGTTCGCCCTCGCTCAATTTCATATTTATGCCCTAGTGATGCTAAATCAGCAGTGAAACCTTGTTCCCAGAAAAAAAATGGTCACGGGGCCCCTGATTTTCACTATACTATGGTGCCAGTTTCATAGAATTTTATCAGCAGATTTCCTGGAAACTCAGTGAAACTATCAATACCTAGGCACAAAATGTAGTCTAGAGCTAATATATTTCATTTGCCCACAATAAAACTTTAGGGGCATCATGTGGGCTAAGTGTCCTAACTGAGGTGTGAATTTTCCAAAAATCGAGATATGATACTTTTGTAATATTTTGGGTCAAAGTCACGTGACTTGACCTATATAATTCTCGCTAGTCCGGACATCATCGAGTTGCATATCATTGGAAAGAGAATCTTCTTCTCTATCCAACTGTACCAGAATTTGTCCAACACGTTCAGTTTCAAGAGAGATATCAGCAGTTGTCTGTCAGAAGGTGAGATTTTAGCCAAATTTCATGAAAATTTCAAATTGCTCTAACTCATCAGAAAATGCTGGCGCGGAGCCAAAAATTTCACTGTGGAGTTATCTCAGGTAGAACCCCTAACATGCAAAATATTGGGCGATTTGAAGGGTGTCGGGCAAAAAAGAGTGTTGGATTCATATGGAATGACTCCAAGTAATTGAAAAAAATGAGGCGAACTACGAAAAAAATTCCAGCTATTAGCCAGCATTAATAAAGAAATCCCCCTTAAGAAATTAATGTTACCAACTCTTGTCTTTAAATGTGTACGTGGTGACATGTTACAAGGTTTTGTATTGTATGGCCTCAATGAAATAAGTATACCTACTCGCTTAGTCTTTTTATGTGATCTTTGTACACACTCTGCTCCTCTCATCAATGAACTTTATTGGCTGCGAGTTAATAATTAAATTAATTTCAAAATTTTTCTCACTGTTCACAAATGTATCTATGGTTTTTCTCCTATTTACAGTATATGGTTTTCTCAACCAACGTATCCCTACACGTACAAAACGTTTCTCTTAATCTGTACATTTCATTATACTACCACGTTACAAGAAGAGAATTGGAGGTTTATCATTTCCTCGTTATGCTTCTAAGTTCTAAACTTTGGAATAATCTTCCAACTGACCTTAGAGATATCGCAGATCCTATCTTTTTAAATGTGCACTCAAGACTTACTTGTTTGCCTGAGTCTCTTTTTGCTGCTTTTTCCTTTTGTGTTTTTATTTTTGTAATCTGTTTATTTGTCTTTGTTTGTGTGGCTGTACTACTGTGATGCTTCGGGTTCCTGAATAATGACTGATTTTATGCCTACCATTGCTTTCCTGAATTATTGAGGCTTGGCTTGCGCTTCATAACCACAAGGGAAAGGCGCAATATACAGTAAATACCCAATTACCAGTTTCAGTATATTGGGACGTAAAACGGTCTGTCTTTTGCCAATCACGCATTTCCCACCACCATTTTATGTATTAATTTTTAGTGTGATTTTCTTAACGTTCTTCCTAGTCTTATTCTTTACCCAAGGGGCAGAGGGGCGACTACAGCGGGTGACAATTAGGCTTTATTCCTCTTTTCTTCTCCCCAACTATAAATTTACCAGACATATCATGTAAAGTAGACACCTAGGTAGGACTAGGCCTCGTACTTTAAAATTTGATCACCTCAGAGCCAATTATGAGGCTGAGGATTCCTGTTAAAGTTTTTTTACCTGAACATGTTTATTACATGAACAAACACAGTGGTTTAAAAGTTTTTTTGAAAAGTACTGTTCTCATTTCATTACTGTGTATTAGACAACAGTTAAACTTGCCTACAGTAAGTTGACTTTTGCCTAACTCGAATAATGTCTAAGACGATCATATTCTACATGCCAAATTGCCAGTTTTCTATTAATTAATGACCTGTAAGTTGAATTTTATCTGTCAAACAATTATTCAACACCATTGCGGATTTGATTCAGGCAAGTTCTTTTGTAGTTAATGAAGACAAGAACAAGAATTCAAACTTCTGTTTGTTTGATTTATTCAAAAAATTGCATGTAAGCTACCGTACCTCCAATAAAAAAAAAAAAATGTACATTGCGATCACCTGCCAAAAACTGACATCTTTGAATTATCCATTCCAATCATTATATCAACAACTACGGTCAACTTCTGAGAAAGACAATTACGGTACCAACCAACTCAATTTGAAGGCAGTGAACCGAATGCAGCGATGGAGACCACACCAGATTCATTAAAACACCCTACAAGCAGTAGTGGTGCCACTTACGGTTCACAGGAGAATTTAGGTTGTACACCTCTCAGATGTGTGGGACCCATGTTTCTGTATGCATCACTGTTTACATGAAGATTATTGTAATTTCCGACACTGCATGCGAGTAAGCATAACTTTTGTAATCAAAATATTACTCTTTACATACAGTACTTGGTTACAAAGCTTACATTTGTTATAATATACCTATTTTTTTAATGACATTATTTTTTGGTCGACTTAAGCCTTAAATTAAATATTCTTTTTAAAATACATCTATTACATCTGAACAGTAAATTGCAATTGTACATTCAATAAATAATCACATAGCTTTCCTGTACTGTATATTCAGAAACACAAGGAGGACCTTGTTTTGCAAATTAAAAATATAAAACTATTAAAAAGTAAAGCATTTATGATTCATTCAAAGCAAGAGGACAAACCTCACTACTGGCAGGATTAAGTAAAAGTAAAAACAGCGAAAATATGGGTGTGCTCCCCCCTCCCCCATGGCAGCAGATTAGTTCCGTATTCTCATTTTTCACATCACCTCTCACCACCCTCCTACAGGCCAAAAACTTGGAAACCTCTAAATGTAGGAGTGAATCAAAGCAAGAACAAAGGACTATTACCAGGATTACAGTATGTCAACAATAATCCAAATTGAGTTCAAAACTACCATTTATACATTATATATATTATCAAAGAATTAAACATATGATGCAATTGTTAGGAATATTTGAGCAATCTGGTTTTGCAGCAGGTATGAAGCTGGCTAAGTTATGAACACAAATTGGGATATGGAAGCATATTTATTTTGTTGATTTCAATTCACATTCAACAGCAAGGAGACAAAACACCTTTTAGGATTACAAATAAATTACAGTACTTAAAATCTTACAAACTAACCTAAAAAACATTGCAAGAATAATGATAAATATCAATAGAAGTATTTTGTACAACACAAAATGCAGAATATAACTTATATACATATAATTATATATATAAACTATATAATAAAACCATATTTGTAGCATTTACTCTAGAAAATTTAGACGAAATACGAAATGAACTGAAATGCAATGGTATGAGTAAACAAATAGGCCAAATGGAGAAACAAGATCAGAACCATAAGCTTCATTTGTAAAATTACATCAACTATGGTTTATCATTCTCACAAACTTCAATTCCGGCCACTTGCTTGTCATCTTGGGCAAGGCACTTTATCTCTCTTAAGAGGGCATGTGGTACTGTATGCAAATGTAAGATGGATGTTGATTACAAGCACAAAATTATGGCAAGTACCCCCCTCCCCAGGGAACTTAGTAAGTGGTTCAAATAACCAGGCTAATAATATGAAGTGCATAGAGGCTCCGGCACTATCTAAAGCTATTATCATTATTACTATTTGATATTTTTATTGATTATTATTATTGTTATTATTATTATTATTATTATTATTATATCTGGCAGTATCAATTGAACATCAACAATTGCATATACAAAATATATCAAAACCTCCAGCAGAAAACCACACATTTCCAAGCAGCAACATGCACATTTAATTTGTATTTAAATATTCAGACTACCAAAATAAGTTAATTACTCATTAGGTTTAACAATACGAGCACTGCTATACTAAAATGAACGAAGTGGTAGAGCATCACATTAAACTGTAGCAAATGAACTTTGTAATTGAGATATCCTTCAGTTCAAAATAGGCTTCATTCATACCACTGTGCAGCAACCACACACATAAATATGATTATCGATATTTTAATGTAATAAAATAGAAAATTTCTTTAAAGGCACGTTCTACACAGTCAAAGTTCAAGTATAATGTGAATAGGGAATGTAAGAAAATAAATAAAGTAGTGAAATCTATAATTGGCTATTTACTATAGCTAGGCATCTAAAGCTTTTAATTATGCAGTTAGTTTTCCTACACCTATTTATTAGTCTTAGGTCCCATACTGGTAACTGATTAACATCAATCCTGCTCCTTCTCTTTCTTTATTTTATGTTTTGTGAGTTCTCTAAAGACCATGATTATAACCAAGTCAGCAGCAATAAGAGCTATCATGTAGCCATAGACATCAAATGATGTTGGTTCAAAAATATCTGAGTATACATTCCTCCTCTGCTTTAAATCAAGAAACAAAGCATCCATTAAACATGAAGTAGAGCCAACCATAAACACATGGAATAACTGATGACTATGGCCAAGGATGTCAAATCTACCAGGTGTCCACTTTTGTGGGAAAGGTACTGAAAAGAAAAATGATGAAATTACGAAGAGACACATCTGAGCAGCATGTAGCCTTTCAGAACCATCGAGGGACAATTTTGTGAGTCCACTGGACATACGATGTACGAGAGGCGACATAGCCATCATATACCCAGAAGCAGCCGGTAACATTTGCCACACCTTCCTCATAGGTGGATATGGACGTTGGTATCGATATTTTGCATAAGTACAGCATGCACAAGTGAGGAATGTAAATGTCCACGCCAGTGGCATGTAGAATGCTTTTATGTAACTTAAAAACTCTGGGTCTGATGCAAGGAAAAAACAACCTATACTACCACCTAGGCCATATACACTGACACCCATGTAGTCAAAGAAAAAACTGACATGATGCATCAGGTCAGAGTGAGAATGAAGAAGATGTGCCAACATACTTAACAATAAATAGACACAACTTGAAAAACAAAATAAAAAAAATATTTTACAAAATTGATCATTGAAATCAAGATGGTAACAATATTGGATGGATTTCCATAGGACAACAAGGCAACCTAGGCCGTGTGTCCACACATTCAAGGTTTCATTGTGAAACTGGAATAAACTCTTGAAATAATATATTAGAGGTTGGTGGGGTCGTCGGTAACCGAACTTGATGTATGGCTCACGGAACAATGTAGGAACTTCTTGCTCAGTTTGCAAGTCTTGACTATCTTTATGCTTCAGCCAGTCTGACAAAGACGTATCAATAAACCACATTGTGTTTATGTTAGTCCAGATTCAGTAGCAGGTTAGTTTGAATGCAGCTGATGAAATATTGAGCAGCTTTGGAATGGACAGGCTTCCCTGTTGATATCCAGCTGGTTGAAACTGTCTGAGAATCTGGCATAAAAAAGAAAAAATATTTAAATCACTTTACTGTCATAATTACCATAATTATAAAAACTTTATTACATAACGAAAAAAGCCAAACGTATTCGGTTTATTTCACCGGTTAATCACGCTGAGCACTCAGCGGGTGGTTGATGGTTCGAGCAAGTTTTAGCTTATGTTAAATTCAGTGTAACGAAACTACTCCGGTAGTAAATTTCAAATTATCCCATGGTCAACCCATTCTTTGTTTACTTTCTACTGCTGCTATAACTAGCTCATGTACGCACAGCGCGGCACGCGGGGACGATATTTAAGCTCAACAACTTATAAAAACTGCTTTAAAATCTGTATCTAGGCTAGTTTATTCAACATTATTTCTTCGAATAATGGTAAATTTACAAATCGAAACACGTAGCTATTCTACTAGCCACCTTTATGGGTCCAATGATGTGATTTTATGCTGATGCATTGACTGTCCAATCCAACTTCAATTTTGTCGTGCATGTCAGGAGAAAGAGAGCTGCAACCAGGCCTGGGCCATAACCCTTTTGAATTTTGTGCACTGGACTGCTGACAAAACATTTATAGAAAAACAATTAAGGTTGATTTATCGTCGCATCCATCTCCATGGTCATTCCATAAACGGTATTCTACCCAGCAATTTAGTGGTCAAAATTGTCGTGGATAATAGATGGAAAGGTAATTAGGCTGGTTTTAGAAAGTGTATACTGGTTAATTAACTAGTAAATCGTACGTCGGATATTTTGTCGCTCGAACAGGCCCCTAGTAGGATCATCAAGGACGACTTTTCAATTCTGGTGCATCATCAAGGTATAATATTTATCACAAATTGTTGAAGTGAGTGAGAATTAAACATCATACAACTGTACTATACAATACATTCTTTTCTATTATCAGTATTTGTTTAATCTTTAAATTGACTGCTTGAATGTGATCTTGTTTATACACATATTGATCTCTGCTCTTTGCAGAGTCACAGTGCATCAAGAGTGTGTGCTGTTTAACTATACATGCGCAAAAGAGAAAGAAGATCAGTTGGATTGGATATCAGATTTGAATTCCCAACAAAGCCCAGTGGCTAAGTGTCTGCATAGACAGCAGAAGGTCCCCAGTTTGAATCCCAATTGGGACAGACTTTTGTCACACTCGGGATTCTTCTGCTTGACATTCAAAATATGTATAATTTTAAATAGCATAATTGACATATGGTTTAGAGTTATATATTAATTATATAGGAATATATATAATGTGATAAACTCTGGCAAGGCCAGCCGTTTGTAGGAAAAATTCAATATTGAGTTTTTGGTGTTGTTAGATTCTGCATTAATTCTTTAAAACAGTGTTTATTTGATGGAAATTGGTTGAGTATCAAAGTTATGAATATTTAATTCATTGGTTAGGTCCAGCCTTGTTAGGTTTTGACAAAAGAGCTTACAAAAATTTCAAAATCAATAGTTTGTTGTAAGACACGTATTTCAAAATAAACTTTTCGGTTAGATTTAGTGATTGATATTTTGCAGAAATGTTCTTCAATACCTTCATTTATAAATGTAAAAAACCTGAAAATGTTCAAGATTCTGATTCTCAAACGTTTTGGGTACAGTACTTGTGGGAAATTATTAATTGCGACAAAACAGCTGATTTTGCCAGATACATGTGTATATATTTTCAAATACATATATATACACATACATACAACATGTATAATTATAATGTATAATTGGGGACCCCTTCTGAAACAAGCCTACCAGCTTAATAAAGGATTATCCTCTGTTATCAATTTTTGTCTTATTGTTGAGATTTTGCTTAGGTTTTGTAAGATTTCTGGATTTTGTAATGTATATTGATTCCATGTGATTTTGGAATGGATAACAATAAATATTATACTATACTATACTGAATATAAAATGGTACACAAAGAGATTGTAATCTTAATCATCTTGCGGTAATGCTTTATCAATATAAATTGTAAACAGTAGGGAAATTCATGATTTTTTCTATTCAGTGAGCAGTGTGTGAGGGTATACTAATTATAGGCCTAACTAATTAAACTGAAGTATTTTTTTATGCAAACTAAGTCGAATCAAATACATGGTTCACAAATTTCACACTCGCGTCACCTTGGTCCTTGTCATTGTGTGGTTGGATGTTCAAATTTTATTATGTAATTTATATCGTGATCTATAAAAAATGAAATCCCGGCTCCTCTAACAACATGTAAAATTTCCCGCCCTTTCAAGATTGGTTACATCTACAAGTGAATATTAGGTACCTCCCGGCAGCCCGGGGGCCCTGGGACTACAATTGACAAGTGCAGAAAAAGATCAAATTAAATATCAATGTGTATTCATGTAATTATCACTTATCAATGGAATACAGTATACTGTACCTAAAGACATGTAAGCATATTATTAAATTTGGTGGAATATAGTTAACTCAAGAAATTTCATGACATTAAATGGTGAATTGTTTGAGCTTACCTTGTTTATGCTCAACCTTATCCAATAAGTTATTTTCAAAGGCATTAATTGAATGCTGTGATTTCCAAATGTTATGCAAAATTAACCCTAAAAACAAATTTAAACAAATCAAATTGAAATTATACTTTTTTAGAAGAATAATTTATACAATCGTTATTTTTAACATTACATTCAAGCTATAGACTTAGGCCTACGATATATCAGAGTTATTTTTTACAATTTAGTACAGGTAATTTTTTTAAAAAATCATAATACAGCTACCTGTAGTAGGTGGAAGCATATATTTGTGTCACTTTAAATAAAAAACCAACTCTCAAGGCAAGAAGACCCAAGTTAGATCCATAAAGAAGATAGGATAATAAAATTTGGAACATACTTATTACTTTAAATGTGGTACAAGCTTTTAAGATTCTAGGACAGCCTAGGCCTAGTAATAAATAGGCCAATGTAGTGCCAGCTGGCTGGAGTAAATACAAACTTTGACCTGTGACGTCATGGACGAGAGATATAAAAGGAAGGAGCGAAGTGCACTCCACGCTGTCGGATGCTGACACTTACTTGAAAGACTTTACAAACTATATTGAATACTTGTATATATTTGGATGGCTAAGGCCCAAATGGTGAGTCCTGGGCAATTGCCTACGATTATTTAGTAGTTTAAGTAGTATATAAGTTAACCTGTATGAAACAAAAGGACCTGTTTCTACAATGGCGACGAGGATGTTTCTACACCTTGGCCAAATTTTTTCTCAACTGAAAATCTGTATTATTATTTTTGTTTTTATTTCAGAAGGGTGTTAATTTACTTGCAGCACCTAGATGTGTATAAGAGACAGCTGTCACAAACACAGCCTCAACAGAAGTCGATCATAGCCCAAACCACCAACAAGGGGGCATAGGCCTTGGCTATGTTCGCTTTTCTACCAGCAGGGCCCCTCCTTAGGGGGGCCTAGGCTAGGCCTAATTAATTAGCCTTATGTAATACTCTCTAAGCCTAATTAAGGCCTTAGCCCGGTCAAGCATTCAATCAACAAGCAAGGCAAGGCCTTGGCAACGAACTGCACCTGTTTTTTGTAAGTAGTGCTCCTCCTATATTTCCTCCATGCTAGAGTAGTAACTATTGTCTGTGTAAGTGTATGTCTTACCTCCTGTCTCTTACAACAAAAACAAAGGAAAATCCTGAGTAATTCTGAGTGGGATAAGGTGGGATTTACCTGCAGCTGCACCCTTCGTACCGGTTTCAAAGTCAAAGCGGCGGTGGTGGTCCTAATAAATTGACCTACATTTAACCTTGGTGTGTCGTTCAGTCCGCCCTCTATCTGAAAGAGATGTGTGTGTGTTTATTGCATGTACTCTTTTGAAGAGAGAGATACGGAAGCGTCAGGCCTGGAATAAACATTGGAGCCTACTGGGCTAGGGCTAGACTAATAGTAGTAAGAAGCACATTATTTGTATTTCCTTTAATTTTCAAGTAAGATTTTAACCATATTATACTGACTTATAAGTTAGTGTTTAAAGAACAGATACAATACATCACACAGTCCACAAACAATTGTCATTAAAGAAGATCAAATTACATTGTTGTTGGGAGAGGCCTGGCCTAGCCTACTACTAGTACTTCACTAGTACTAGGCCTACTTACTAGGTAGGCCTAGCTAGGCTTCTGCTAGTCTAGCCTAGGCCTAGGTGGCCTAGCTAGCCCAGCTTAAGCCATAGCTAGCTAAGGTAGCTAGGGTAGGGCCTAGGACTAACAGGCGCTAGGCATAGTAGGCTAGGCCTAATGCATTTTCGCACCTAAACTTTTATAATTCTTAATTTTGTTACCTCAGTGTTTTTCTCACAGTCACAACATAGCCTAGGCCTAGGCCTATATAGCCTTAGGAGGCCCTAAAACACGTTCACATGATTCAACCACTCACAAGTCAAAAATTTACACAGTAATTTAAGAAAATAGCCTGTACCAAAACGTCTCATACACGCTTTGTGTGTAAAGTTGAGCGTGATTTAATTTACAGAAACCATTGTTACATGTTTATGAATGTAACGTCATCTTTTCTCTACGATTGTGTATGCCAAATGTGAAATATAACGAGAATAAATCGTACTATTTTGGGAATAAAACATACATTGGTCGTGTCTGCCTGTGTAATACAGCACGACGACGGCAGCCGTGTATTCACTCATAGTGAATCATGGCATCGGTCGATGAATGTGCTTGTTGCAAAACTCATGAAATATGTTGTAATTTGCAGATTTCAAGGAGAGCTAAGTTATTCAAAATTATTGAATAATGTTTCTAATCACACCAATAACTTTGGCAGACTGGATGTTTAAACAAGTAAAAGACTTGACAACAGCACGGAGCTGAACGTTTATACCTCACTCAATCATCACATCCAGTCATGTCGCGTTGTCGTGCAACAAGTGTCAGGGGACGAGGCCTAGTCTGTAAAAACTCTACGTATATTTTACATGAAAATCAAATCAAACATCTTCTGTTCTATGAACCTTCCTTAACCTACCAAGTATTTTACTTGTTTTCCTGGACCATACAAAAACTTGCAACGTTATATATAGAATAGGACTTTTAGGCTTTGTTTACAATTTTATACACACTCGGCCAAATTGTGATGATGTCATCTTTCGTCGCTAATTCGGTCTATTGAACTTGTTTCCAACTGGACTTATTTCCAAATGGAAGTTATTAGTCCAATTAGAAAAATTCCAATTGGAAAGTGCCAAAATCCAATGGGACAAAATTGGATTTTGGCACTTTCCAAATGGGATTTATCCAATTAGATATTGTAAAACCCGATTAGAAAAACTCCAATTGGAAAGTGCCAAAATCAAATGGGATAAATTTTGATTTTGGCACTTTCCAATTGGGATTTATCCAATTGGATATTATAAACCCAATTGGATACAATTCCAATTGGAAAGTGCCAAAATCCAATCCAAAATCTAATTTTATCCCATTGGTTTTTGGCACTTTCTAAAATAGGATTTATCCAATTGGATATTATAAACCCAATTGGGGTAACATTCTAATTGGAAAATGCCAAAATCCAATTAGATATTGGCACTTTCCAATTGGAATTTTATCTAATTAAAATTTTATCCAATTGGTTTCAAAGATGTTGACAAATACTGGAAAAAAAGAAAAAGAAATAATTGTTATTTGCATTTATTTTATTTATTTAAAATAAAAAAATGAAATACTGCACAAAGCCTGTTCGTTAAAAATATGCTATAATAATGTTATGGAATATATAAAATTAATGTTCACAAAACATATTTTAAATCTAGTTTCTGTTAATATACAGTAATAAATGTACTGTGTACCCCATCTTTATTCCTTATTTTTGGCTCTCTAAGTTTCGCAATTCAGCAATCTTTATAGCTGTACTTAAAGTTCTCCATAGCTTCACTGGACATTCTGAAAAACAATATATTATAAAGATTGATTTTAAAAGCTAATCAGCATGAGGGAAATTAAATAGCTATCCAATTGGATATTTATAATCCAATTGGAAATCTGTTATCAAATTTGTTCCAATTGGATTTGTTTTTGTAGTTCAATTGGTATTTGTTATCAAATTGGAATTTATTTTAGATTCCAATTGGAGATTAATTGTCTAATTGGATTTTTCCAAATTCGAATTGGTTATTTGTCATCCAATTGATTCCAATTGGATTTATAAAAAAAAATCCTATTGGACATTTGTTATCCAATTAATCTCAATAGGATTTTTTTCCAAAATTCCAATTGGAATATTTTTTTCTCAGTTGGAACCAATTGGATCTCATTCATTCCAATTACAATCCAACTGACTCATATTGAATCCAATTCAATTTCCAATTGGAATGAATTTGTCATTTTCGTAAGGGACATGACGAGCTGCTGCTATTTTGCAATCAGTAATACATTTTTTTCAATTCTTAAATTGAAATAAAACTATTGAATGGCAGTATTATAATTCAGATTAGAATTTAACCATGAAAGATCCGACAAGAAGATGCGGCATCGTGCCATCTTTTTTCTTTAGAGCGTCCTGTTAAACATTCAGGTTCTTGTAATCAAGGTTCATCGAACTGCCATTTAGCCTTAGGCTCAGGTATCCATAGTTGTTCTGCTGGATTATGCCATAAAATTAAATATTTTTATATCTGTACGCATTTTGGACCATTACTAATTTTTTAGTTAGGATGTGATTTTCATGTGAACCCCTGTCGATAATCAAACAACACCACCATATACTGTAACTAGCATAACGAAACTGAAATGACATATGAACGAAAATAAATCAGTTTCTATAACGTTTAATTACACAAAACTGTGGACAGACATTCTGTTAATTTATTACTGATTGCAAAATGGCAGCAGCTTGTTGTGCTAGCAAACACACAAACACTGTAGTTATAATAACGGTATTTTTATGTTGATAAATGTACTTTATGAGTGGTTGTATCAGGTAAACATGTTTTATGAAGATATGTTATGACTTTGAGATGAATATTGAGACTAACCTACCTACTACCTAGGCCTCTCTAGGCTAGCTAGGGCCTAATTATTATAAGAATAGCCTAAGCCATAGCTAGCATGGGGGCATAGGTAGGCCTAGCTAGGCCTAGTAGGGATACACTAAGGTAGTGCCTAGACTCTAGACTTAAAGGCCTAGAATGGAATGATTTGTTGAAGTAATTTTGTGTTTCTTCCTTAACACTAGATTACCTCAACAAATCATTCTATCCTAGGCCTACTACTAGGCTAGGTCTATCCTCTAACCATAGAGCAATGAAACAGAGCTTAGGCTTAACTATTTAGGCCTATGCCCCAGGCTGTAGTAAGGCCTGCAAGGGGAATATACCCCCCACGTAAAAATCTGTCCACACATTTTGGAAAATTTTGCCGAAAATTAGGCTTTGACCAAATCTTAATATTTAACCAATGCAATTATGCAGCAATTACAATTTTTGGTGTTGTTATTTGAAATAAATAGACTTTGCAATTTTGTGACAAAATTTTAATTAATCACTCATCATTTGTGATTGGATACTTTCTTGCCAAAGGTCTATAGCCTTGTTCGCACTGGCTAACCAGCATCTCGGCTACTTTTATTGCTGAACGAAGTGTGCCCAGATGCATGAAGATTGACCAGGCTATTTTTACCGACCTAGAAAATTCAGTATGGATAGTATGACTTAGCATAGTATCTCTGAGCACATGCTAATACCACACACATTGCAAAGCTTTTGAATTTCCTTGTTAGTCTTGGTCAAATTTAATCCGATGCGAATATGGTTAAATACGTATTATGTTGAGGATGTGTTAAAACCAGGGTTAAAACATAGGTTTTCAAGGAACATAAATTTCTAATATTTATTTAGTAAGGACATTAAAAATTGTTATAATTTCATTAGGGATACCTCTTCAATTCAACATATCAAGACATTTTTGTTGCGATATTGCTGAAGAGAGGCGGCGGGCTGTTAAAAATACTTTTTGGCTCATTTGGATGGTTGTATTTTAGCCAAATAAGTTTGGTTAAGTCTGTAATGATGTGAAATAATGGTGGGCTATGATTCCTCAAAATATGGAGATTTTAAAAGGTTTAACTCTTCCTGTTATAGCCGCTTGAACAATGGTCCAGACAATTTTTCGTCCAATTTTCAGACATTTGCTTTTTCTAATCATTACATGCTACAACTTTTCTGATTATAGATTTGGAATCAGTATTGAAAGTATGGCCTACCACGGTCCTGTACACAAACTTTCAGGGTTATGGGGGTTGTACTTCTGAAGATATTAGCATATAAAAATCAATTTTCATTTCTGTTGCGCATTATTTCGAGGCACGCCCGCCCCTAAATTTCAACTGCCGCTGCAGAAAAACGAACAAGGATTGGATTCTCAAATTTTTAAGTTTTCCATTTCTCATGAATATGAATATGTCAGAGTAGAAAAAGTGGAGAGAAAAAAAATGATTTCCCATGGTGTAATGCATTTTTTAAAATTGGCGTGAAATAACCCTATCATTTTTTAATCAATTTGAATAAATTAATTTTTATTAAACATTCATATTTAGTTTGATATCCTATCGTTTTGATATTAATTAACCAATTACCTTAAAAATATGTCTTTAAAACATTTAATAAAACATCTAATCAAGTATATTGCAGTTGCCTAAATTTTTTGTCATTTAGTTACCGGAGTCTTGTTAATAAATATCACCATATATTTATGATAAATAATTTTTTTTCAAAATAAAAGGTATTACATTCATTGCTATACCCTAAGGATTGCTCTTGATACTGTATAAATAAAATTAGGCCTCTAAATTTGATGACATTTTGTGGTAGTGAGTTCCAGAGAGCCTATTTTTTCATGTTTAAAAATACTGAAAACAGAGGGAAGACAGCTTGTCATAGGCATAGTTGAAAAACATTTTCATAAAATATAGATTTTACTTGTATTCATGTAATGAAGTTTCAGTCATCAGTTAATAAATTTAGTTAGAAGTGCTATATCAATCAAAGAGCTATATTATTCATGAACTTCCACTCCATATTAACATATTGATCATCTTATTCGTAAGGGAAACAGAATGCTTGGGTTCATTTGGAGACATTGCAGAGAAATAAATAGCCCTGGTGCCATTATTGCCTTATATCGTTATTTAGTTACTTCTCATTTTGAATATTGCTGTGTTTTTTTTAGTTCTGCATCCGAATCTCAGTTAATTCGCATCGATAGGATGCATCTTAAGTTTATTAGGTTTTTTGAAAAATGTTTTAATCGCCCTTGTAAATTAATGTGTCCTAGGAATAGATTTTTATTTCACGATATGGTTT